TGTATTTTTAGTGGAAAAGTAATCAATTTTATCGTTTTAGTCTGCATAACACGCCTATATGTATACGGAAGAGGTGACTAGTCTACACCAAGTAGGAAACTAACCATATACAGAAACTGTACTCAAATTCTGACCTATATAACTTCCCTGTTTTACAAGTGCACACAATCGGATTCTTTGAACAAGCAACAATACCCGCGAAATTTACTTGAGATGTCAATTTGGTTGTTAGATCAAAGAAGGGCTAATGCATTAAAAGCGAAATTTACCGAGACACAAAAAGTTGCCATGATACGTGCGATGTTTAGTACACCGGACAAGTATATATATTTCTTGTTTTTGTTAAATTACTGCTTTTTTGTATTGTTAAATTTGGTTCTGTTGATTTCAGTTAAGAGTGGAAGAAATATTGATCAGAGGTCTCAAATGGAGCAAGCTGCTTGATCCTGATAAGAAGGGTCAGTGGTGGTCATCTGTGGAAATGGCTTCAACAAGAGACGATGTTGAAGAGGTTGCCAACACCATTGACAAAGAGGTTATTGAAGCGCAGAAAATGTTGCAGCTTGCTGCGGCACAGAGGATGAACACAGATGCTAGGAAGGCAATTTTTTGTATAATAATGAGTGGCGACGATTACATTGATGCATTTGAGAAGCTTCTCAGGTTGGACTTGCCAGGAAAGCAGGTGCTGCTCTTTTTTATTTCATTTGTTTATTTTGTTCTATCCTTATTGGGATTGTCTTCTATTGTCTTGGTAATATTTACCGTTACATGTGGGTGGACAGGACCGAGAGATTATGCGGGTTCTTGTTGAGTGCTGTTTACAAGAGAAAGTGTTCAACAAGTATTACGCTGCCCTGGCTTCTAAATTGTGTGAACATGACAAAAACCATAAATTCACCTTACAGGTAATACTCTTTTCCTTTTGGGATTAAGATGAAATTAGGAGCGCAAGGGAAGAGTTGAAAGTAATTTGCACAAAATTAACTTGTACAAAAGCGTTTTTTTTTTTTACAATTGAAAGCTTGCATCAGTCTTATGCATGTGACAGACATTGAATACGATTACATGTGAAAATATAATGTGACACTGTATAGCGAACTTTATTACAGAAGAAAAGTTTTCATGTACTCCAATGTTTCTTTTTCCCTCTCTCTTTCAATCAATGCATATAGCTTTTATGGTTGGTATGAAAAAAAAACCTTTCTTTTTTGCTTGGTGTGAAAAAACCTTTTTTTGATTCTGCTGCGTTTTCCACAGTTTTGCCTCTGGGACCACTTCAAAGATTTGGAGACAATGCAGCTTATTAGATCAATGAACCTTGCTAGATTTGTAGCAGAAATGGTTGCCTCTTTCACCCTCTCAGTTGCAGTTTTGAAGTCTGTAGATTTGAATGATATCAAGCAGCTCACTCCGAAAAGGATAATGCACTTTCGGATGCTATTCGAGGCCATCTTTCAATACTCTGACAAAGTTGTATGGAATGTATTTACTCGTGGGGCTGTCGCCCCCGAGCTCGAAAATCTTCGACAGGGGATTGAATTCTTTGTGAAGGAGTATCTTGTGAAAGCCAATAAAGCGGCCAGTGATAAGTTTAAAATTGTGAGAAAAGCCCTCAACAATGCAGAGGGAGTTCTCATATGAGGTACTTTCTGCCTTCTGGCTGACAATCAAATTTTGTAGTTCTTATCTGATATTTATGTTCAGTTGGCGCCAAATAATTTTTTTGTTGATGCGTGGTTATTTATTTCTAGAGTAATTTGTACCCGTGATCCTTAACTCTATAGTAGGTGGCATTTGGTTTCTTTTTTTCTTTTTTTTTGTTTTTTTTTTATAATTTCGATAAAACAATCCCTTAACTCTTACGCAAAGTATTTAACTTAAAGCTTGAAATAAATATCTTATGTATGACTAATATTCGTATTGCTACATAAAATATGCATGACAAAAAAAAAA